ATTGCTATAGGAGTTAAATAATCAGGTAATACTTCAGAGCTATTACTGATACTACTCCAGAATAAAAATATAAATAATTTTATCAATTGTTATATATTAAAATAAAATATTATAATTGAGATCCCACGGCCTAGTAGTCTAGGCACCCAACCCTTCACGAGCGGGTTTCAGGTTCAAGTCCTAGTAGATACGGATTCTACAAATATTTGAATATACTCATCGTGGGAAGCCCAAGTGAGTACAAGTCTGGATTAGGAATTTCTGGAAAGAGGTCCATTGTGGAGAAGTTAGTACTATGTGTAATAGTGATTGTTACAGAAGATTCTATTACACAAAAGTTGTGCATGTAAATCCTCGGTTGGCATAGGTAGCACCAACAACCCTAAGGCAGTATTGGGAACTTGGTTGGGAGGATAACCGGGCAGTAATTAGAACTGGAATGGTGAGAAAAGTGGTGAACACAAAGGGATCTGTGGTAAAGAATTGGCCTTACCAGATTTGAAATATCTCTGGCACGTATGGATCTCTCTAGCCAATAAGAGGCTGAAACATGAAGGCGTGTACGTATAAATAGACCCAACGGGCAATGGTCGCACCCATATGGGAGTCTTTGAACGTTAAAAGGACTCAGGACCTACCAATATCGGAATAGCTAGTATAAGTGTATGCAGTGGTAACTGGGGGCTACAACTGCCAAGAATCACCATAAATAGAAAATGTTGACACACTTGTTAAGAATCCCTAGGCCTCATGATGCCACCTAACTATACTTGGTACTGGAAGCATATGTGAAACATGCCTGAACTCCTCATCACTATATTGGGAAGTACAATCGTTCGCACATCACTGAATTCGCAACATTAAACCTGGGTTCCAAAGTTGCAGGAAATCTAGCTAATTACGGCAGCATACAGGCTTGAGATACTTACCCAATTGGGTAGAGGCAGCTGCATGGCTTGAGATACAAACTTCTGGAAAATACGCTAGTAGGGATTAAGAGAATTCTCTGTCAGGCACACCAAACCGGAAGCAAAAAGCATCTACCTGGAGTAACATACACCGATTTGGGAGTTAAGATAGTAGATTATGTGGGTAATGTGGCAGACATGTGAATACTAATTAGCGGTTAGGGAAGGAAGTACAAAAACCAGGTCAATCACATGTGTGGGAGTGTGACGGCTCTGGTGGGTTTTAGCCGTGGATAAATGGTTTGTATACTTGATGTCCTAGTTTCAATACTTATATGTAATATTTAGTGTTTACGGCACCATCATATGTCAATTTATTTAAATATTAATAAATAAGTTTGGGGCGAGTGCTACACCCAGAGTACTTCCCTAAATATTAAAAAAAATATTTTATAGATATATAAAAATATATGCTAAAATTCTATTGGCCAATTTAAACTACAAATCATTATTATATTTTTTAATTAAAAATTAACTTTTAATATTAAAGTAAGAGTAAGTATTTAGGTTAGAGTTAGAGAAGACTTATATATAGCAAAATTTTGTACAGAATTTTTTTTGTTAATATACAAAAAGTAATTTTATAATTAAAATTTTAAATTATAGAAAAAGCTAGTAGTTTGTTTTGTTTTTATATTATATCTAATCTTATATAGTAATTGTTTTAAATTATATATTAACTAACTTCTTATATAGTTCAATTAGAAATATAAGCTATATCTATACTATATTATACTATTGATATATTACTAGTATTTTACTAGTATTATATATATAAATATAGATATAATACTAATAATAGAAATGATTAGCCAATTAAATTGCTTTATCTGCAATTCCAAAAGATTCTCTAAGAAAATTTTGAAAATTTTAAATTATATTAAACTGGAAATAAAATAGTAGTTATACTATACTATACTATATTATATGATATTATACTTGAGTATTATATTACTATTTCTATTAGGTGCTAGTCAAAATCTCGACAAACAGAATGCCAACAGGTTATAATCCTGACAAAAAAATTCTAATAGTAAAAATCCTGACAACAAAAAATTATTAAGTTCATTTAAATTAGAGTAGGGGTAGGTGAGTACATAGGTTAGATTAGAGTATACACTCAGATTAAAATTAGGGTTTAGATAATTATATAGTAAAATTGCTTAAATGACCACTTTTTTGATTGTTAGGATTTTTGATTGTTAGAATTTTTTTGTCAGGATTATAGCCTGTTGGAATTTGTTTGTCAGAATTTTGACCCAAACCTATTTTTATTATGCTAGTATAATTATATCTCTAAGTTTAGTTAGAGATTTTACTAAATTAAGAAATTACATTCTAGAATAATCTTTGTGTTATTTATAAATTTGATTTGCTGTATAATATTTTTTATTATTATGAGATTATTTGATATTTTTTTATTTATTTGATATTAAATGATATATAAATATCTAATATAATATATCTATTTTAAATAATCACATTTGGTTTCTCAAAATAAACTATTATAAAAAAGATAAATAAAAGCTAACTTCTTTTATTTAATAAGTAAATTTTGATGTAATTAGATTTTATTAGTCAATTATGCATGATTTTTGTATAATTAAATGATCTAGAATCATGTAATTAATATTTTTATACTATACAAGGTGCAATCTACACTAGAGTTGCAAGTGAAACTAATTAATTTCACCAAAAAACTGGTGCACCATTGAAGATTAGTTTCATCTATGACTCTAGTTTTACAATCGGTGCACCAGTTTCACCAGTTTCACCTAGTGCACTATTGGTGCACCATTGAAGATTAGTTTCATCTGCAACTCTAATCTACACTGTTTATTTTAGACAAAATCCCAACTGCAGTTACTAAGTAAACTTATAATATAAAAATTACATCTAAAAAATCATTTTCAAAAAGTTGTAATAAACAAAATTTTTTTAGTAGTAATACTTATATTTTTTTCATTAGCAAATAGCCAAGCATAAAATTAGTTGGTTTAAATAAATTTTAGATATAAATATTAATTTATAAAATTTTAATTGGCAATAGAGCTTAGGTGCACCAGAATAATGACCCTCTCTTATAAAAAAAAATTTGTAATACATAATACAGCAACTGACTTGAGTCATTGATATTTTATCTTTTACTTTATTGTTTTCTAACTTGGGATGCAGTAGAATGCAGTAGTTTTAAAAACTAGATAAGAAGTAAAGGTTTTGAAGAGTTGGAAAGTGTTTTGGCGACCTAAGCAATTAGTAGTGAAAGTTGCAAGATTTTGTCTTAACTTGTTCTTGCTTTCTATAAATAAAAAATGCTATGTATTTTTGGAACTAATATTCCAAATTCTATTTTTTTTATTATATTTAGGTTATGAGAGTTCATAAATACAAAGTTTTATATAGCAGTGTTTAGAAATGTTTGTGTATGTTAGATTGTGTCGCGAAACTTAAAATATTTGTTGTTAAATAAATAGTGTACTTATTGCGAAATGAGTAATATTGTAAACATTGTGAAATTTGAATTAGTTATTATAAATCAAAAATTTATGTGTTGTAAGACTACAATACGTCTTTAGAAAGTATTGACTAATCTTTTGAAAATTTCGTGAGTAATAAAATTTCATCCGGGGTATAGCCGATACTTTATCCAGGAATGATCTACATTCTTTCCGGCGTATTTTAACAACCAATCAAAATAAACTTCCGCCATGCAACCCCTAAGTGCACGTCCTCCCTAAATGTACCTCTTTTCTTGGCCCAACTAACATTACGCCTATGGATTTTTGCCTCTCTAAATGTACAATTGATTAAATTTTTATATATGGTCCCGTCGCATTGCATTTAGAGAGATTTGACTTACATAAAATATATGTTAAATAACATTCAGGTTCTACCACAAAATCCCGAAACCATTTTCCCGAAAAGAACATAATACCGACTAAATTGACCAGCATTATAACTAATGCCGGCTAACTTTGTCGGTATTAGGTCCTTTCGGGAATCTGTCTTTCGGGATTTTGTGGTAAACCAACATTCGGACCCCCCTAGGTGCAACTCGCCGGGACCAAACTTTTGATAGTATGCATTTAGAAAACAATAAGAAAAATTGGTGCCAGAAATATACTTGGGCTAGAGCTTGAGGTTGCATTTAGAGAGGTACGTATTGCATTTAGGAGGTCTGACTGTATTTAGCATGGTGCAATGTTTAAGTCCTAAAAATAATGCCTAGAAACTTGATTTCAATTTTTGTTTCAAATTAGACTTAATTTTCGCAAAATAGTGTGCCTATGTGCTTTTTTTGGGGGTTTTTTTTGATAATATATTGCTATTGGAAATTATTTGTCTATCGTTAAAAGATTGTTATCATAAACCCACGAAATAACGCACCTGCACATTACTGTATTTTGGTTCCTTTCATGCTCGTATAAATTCTTTTATATATTATATGAGGGTGTGCGTTATTTCGAGACGCGTTATTTTGAAATGTTTTGAAGGATCCGACTCCAAAATAACGTCGTTGTCTCTATTTTGCGGTTTTACAGTAGATGTTGAATCTATTAATGTGACAGTGAAATTCTGATTATATTGCTAAATATTTGAACTTTAAAAATTGGTCACGAGGATGTTATCGTATAGTATTGTCTTCGATTACTCACAGTTGTAGACGAATCTGAAAGACTGTGTATTATTAAACCAAAAAAAAAAACTCCAATTGAGGCGTACCGTACGACTTTGCAATCAGGAATGACGATTTTAGCAAAATATGATTCCATTTGAGTACTGCATGAACAAGACATTTTTAAAAGAACCGATTCTATTTAATACTTAATCGGGGCCAGGCAATTTTTAAAAAAACCTTTTATACAGTACTTTAATTTATTGCATCCGTATTTTTTAAAATATGAAAAAAAAAATTTTTAAAATAAAAATACAGAAATGAAACTTTAACATAATAAACACTAAAATACAGAATTCACTGTTTCATTGATAGTTATTTCTCCGACTTTAATCTTAATCAACACTATTTCAACTTTAATTTTCTGAAGATGTACCGACACCAAAGTTATCAAGCTTGTTCAACACTTCCTTTAAATACTTTTCACGATTTAACAAATCCTCCCTTTGATTCTTTATATTTTCATCCTCCTCGGCCAACTCATTGATCGATTCATCATCATTATTCGCAAAAGCTTCCATTAATTTTTCTTTAATTCGATTACTAAATTGATTTATAAACGAATAAATTATCGTTAAAGGGATAACATCAACGTAACGTTTTATTGCAATTTTTAAGTACGCCATAACTGATGCTACGACATTTAATGTATCTGTTGGGGTTTTATTAGTAATTTCTTGTTTTGCTGCTTCGCGAAGAGATTCCAAATACTCCATTTTTAAGTCAATCATTAATTTATCATCAAGTGTATATGGATAGGTCGTTAATTCCATTTGATATAAATGATTAATATTAATTGACGCATGTTGTTTACATTCATCTAGCCATCCTCGTCCCTTATTTCTTTGAAACGGATTTTGAAAGTTATTAATTTTAAAAATAATACAATATCTTGTAAAATAAATAACGATTCTTACCTCATAAGTACTACTAATTTGGGAAATCTTAAAAAGGTACTTTCTATAGTTATATTGACTAAATTTATCATAATTCTGTGAGTAGCATTTAAACAATTCGTGGAAGGTCTATTCCATTTTGTTTTGCATTCCCTAATTATCATCTCTACAGCCGGATAAGGAATAAATCCAGGGAGTAATATCCCACGAGCATTTCTCATTGTCTCGGTTATGTCCGATCCTTTGATCTCTTCTAATTGATTTATATTATTATTAGATCTATTATTAGATCTGGAACTACTGGGTCCGTTTCCATTATCAGCTGTTGGATACTCTCCTTTCTCTTTAAGCATGTCAAATTTTGCCGGAAAGCTTGTTTTGGTAGCTTCGTCCACTATACAACCAACAACGAAAATTGGACGTAAATTATAAAACTCTTCTCTGAATTGTTCAAACTGCTTATTAAGTTGATTCCATAATTTAATATCTGATTTAATATCTGTAAAGCATGTTTGTACCATGCGGATTAATTCCATCTTCGGATCATCCAATAAAAGTTGCTTGGGTAGTTCATTTAACCTTTGGCGTACCTAAGATATAATAAAAAATAAATTAAAGATAGTAAATTTAAATAGCCTTACTACAGTATTATAAATATATACTTACCTCGTCTAATTTATCATTAACACTTTTTTGAATATTTGGAAGTTCTCTCTTAACTGCTTTAATTAACAGTTTAGATAATTTATTTTGTAAATTTTTAATCCCAATCCTTTCTTGCATATGAAAACGACACCACGGTTCTTCATTTTCAAAAAACTATTATTGAAAGAAAAAAGTCAGTTATTTTTTTATAATTTTTATTTAAGTATTAAAATAAAATCAAACACGAACTCTATTTTCATCTTCTCTAGCTTCTTCAAATGTAATGCCATCATTAAGCTGTCTCTTAGATGGGTTCTTAATGATGTAGTATCCGAGATCGAGTTTATAAGCATCACCTCGCAGAATCTTTAACCATATATCATGTGTATCTTCTTCAATTTGATCAGGTTTAGTAAGAACTCCTAGTGTGCGAATTCCTCCTGGGTCGGCTTCTTTTGCGTAAGTGACAATAGGCTGGTTTTCTATTTCGTCTTTACATGTAATCGTTGCAATTATAATAGATTTATCATTTTTAATATAATCTTTTACGAGTTCTTCTATTAATCCAATAAACTTTCTATCTTCGGCTCTATCAACATGTTCTAAGTAGTATTAAAGTAGTATTGAAGAATATCTAATATTTAACTAATCATTATTGCAAAAAAAAAAAACAATTCATGTAACATAAAAAGTGTTATGTTCATAAACTTACGAATTATTCCTGGTAAATCAATTAAACTTAAGTTCGGGACATCGGGACCCCTAATTTCGATACATACAACATTTTTGGTAAACTTGAGAGCATTCGATTTAGAATCCTCATCATAACTTGTATTTCCAAACTCCCAATCAAGGTATGCATCGTAATTATCTGCAGGATTTAACAAGGCCTTTTGAGCACGTCGTGCCATTATTTCGACCTCATCTGGGTTATCTATTAATTCACCAAATTTCAGCTCTTTTGGATGACTAAGGCGTTTTCCGTTTTCATCATATTCTTTTCGCAGTGAAAATTGGCATGACCAATTCTTAGCTGATTCAATAAGTCGGAGCTCCATAACGCAGCGAGTGCATGTTCCATCGGATCTAGGTAACTAAGATAGTGTTCATTTTTTTTCATCTTGATTTCAAGGCATATATTAGAGCATTACAACAATAAAAGCTTTATATACCTTAACGCCCGAAATTGCCTCAAGCATGCTACTTTTTCCCACCGATTGATTTCCACAAAAAACGATAGTAGGAAGATTAATAGCAAATTGAGCACCAAGACGGCGCAAATCATTTAAAATTTTAACATAGTTTGAAGCCTCCTTCGCGTATTGAAAATTTGTTGCATCTATTTGTACCATAATGATTTTCTTAACGATTTTCTTAACGTTAAGGTGAAAAGATCTTTCACAGGTTTTTTATATATTTAATGTTATCATTTTTAGAATCAAAGGGCAATTAGGAAACGTTACACCTTGTTATAATTTAACAATGTCTTAAGGCTTTCTACCTGCGTTTTGGATATTAGTGGTAAAGATAAACCTTTTGCGGACACAATGGCAAATACTATTTGACTAATAATGGTTAGATCGTTATTTAATTAACCCATTAAATTATTGTTATCAAGCCAAGACATGGGTATCGTCATCCGTTTCTGCTGCGACTGACCCAAAATTTGTTTGTGATCATGCAATAAATATGCGACTTTTTTAACCTAAACAGCAAACAAGTTATTTCCATAACCTTCTGATTGACGCGTCCTTTATTTGATTTCCATAAATTTTATCGTACTAACCCTATTTATATTTAAAATTTGATAACGATAATTTAAAATTTCAAACCCATTTTAATTTCTCTGCACGTTTATATAATTAGGTTCATTCGCAGTAAATTATGCGGTGATTCTTGGCGTGGGATTTTACTATCATATAATCTAAAATTATACAAATGAAAAGTCATGATCATTTGTAACAACCGTTTATTTTAAATAGATAAAAAAAAACTTTTATTTTATCAACGATCTATATTCCTGTGAATTTTTCCATATTTATTCTGATATTATCGCCAAATATAAAAGAAAAAACAAACATTAATTTTTACGAATATATATATTTCTATAAAAAAAATCTAGTCAACACTTTTTTTCATAAATCAATCATAATATAAATTTAAAATGGAGAATGCTGATGAAATTTATAAACTCGGTTGTAATTATCAAAATGGGATTGGAGTTGAAAAGGATAAAAGTAAAGCATTTAGTTATTATCAAAAATCTGCCAAGATGAATAATGCTTATGCAATAAATGCACTTGGTAATTGTTATATTGATGGAATTGGAGTTGAAAAAGATGAACGCAAAGCATTTATTAATTATCAAAAATCTTATGAGATGGGTAGTGTTCATGGTACATATAATGTTGGTTATTGTTATCAAAATGGAATTGGTGTTGAAAAGAATGAACGTGAGGCATTTAAATATTATAAAATATCTGCTGATAAAGGACATTTTAAAGGAACATGTAATATTGGTTATTGTTATGAAAATGGAATTGGAGTCGAGAAGGATGAACATGAGGCATTTAATTACTATCGAAAATCTTCTGAGATGGGTAGTTTTTATGGGGCATATAATGTTGGTTATTGTTATCAAAACGGAATTGGAGTTGAAAAGAATGAACTCCAAGCATTCGTTTATTATGAAATGTCTGCTGATAACGGTGATTCGAGTGGGATGAATGCACTTGGAAACTGTTATCTTGACGGAATTGTAGTCAAAAAGGACGAACATAAGGCATTCGGTTACTATCAAAAATCTGCTAATATGGGCGATTCTAATGGAATATGTGCACTTGGTAACTGTTATCAAAATGGAATTGGAGTTAAAAGGGATGAACAACAAGCGTTCATCCATTATCTAAAATCTGCCAACATGAATAATGTCAAAGGAATATATTATGTTGGATATTGTTATGATAAAGGAATTGGAGTTAAAAAAGACGAACACAAGGCATCTATTTATTATCAAAAGTTTGTTAATATGAAATATGTTAAGGGAACATTTAACCTTGACGCCCTTGATCAAAATAAAACTGAAGAGACATTTACATATAATGATGATTATCATTCAAATGAAGTTGAGGTTGAAGAAACATTTTCTGATACGGGTGATTCTAATGAAGTATATCGTGATAACTATCATCCAAATGAAATTGAAGAGACATTTACCGATATGAATAATGCTGATGAGGCACATAATGATCATCCAAATGAGCTTGGAGTTGAAAACATACCTGCTGATATGGATGATGCCGATGAAGTATATGATGAAAGGGATGCAAATGAAGAATATAAACTTGGTGATAATTATGAACGTGGAATTGGAGTTGAAAGAGATGAGCATAAAGCATTTCTTCATTATAAAAAATCTGCAGATCGAGGTAATATTGATGGAATGAATAAAGTTGGTGGTTTCTATAGAAATGGAATTGGAGTTGAAAGAAACGAAGATGAAGCATTTAAATATTACAAAAAATCTGCTGATATGGGTAATGCCGATGGAATGTTTGAACTTAGCTACTGTTACAGAAACGGAATTGGGGTCGAAATACATGAAAATGAAGCATTTAAATGGTGTAAAAAATCCGCAAAACTGGGTAATCCTTTAGCACGAGAAGAAATTGTTAATTATACATAATAAAAATGATTTAGAGCAACAAGACATTTACGAATGATCAAAAAATCAAGTACTTAAAAAATAAACAAAATTTTATATAATTTTATTTATTCGTATTTATTAACTTTTTTTTTTTTTTTTAAAAAAAAAACAATAAATTAGCAAATAATTTTGTTATATTTTATTTATGATACAGTCAACCCTCTCAAAACCGATAACCTGCCAAATCTGATAAAAATTAATCTATCAAGTCCGTTCCCGTTATATCAGATATTAATCTAATAGTTTATGTTTTCAAATCGATAACTGATGCAAAACCTGTCCACCATGTATACCGATTCTGAGAGAGTCGACTGTATTGAGTGTATAGTAAATTGGGTTTCGTGTTTACTGACAAGCACTAAAATAGTGACTTAATATACAGTACTGGCACTAGGTTTATCATGACAAATGATTTGTGAATTCTGTGACTTCTGTATATTATATTGTTTTAACAACAATCATTTGGCGCAAGCAATTCCTTGTTTTAATAATGGCAATAAGCAGAATTAATGGGGTTCACAAAAAATCTTTTGGGTCAGTCTCTACAGTTATAGGCAGTGTTGGCAATTTTACCGGCCAAATTCGTGTTTTTTTTTGGCCGAAAAAGCCAACAAATTTGAAAATTGCCAACACTGATTATAGGGTTTCGAGGACTTTTGACCAGATTTCGATTATTATTGGACTTTATTCATAGTATAAGTTTTGTTGCATAATATTATACAAAGGTTTATTACTTAATGTAAATATTATAAAATTGTTCCCGAAGCCCTAGAATGACACATTTGTCGCACTAATTCGCAAAGGATGATAAACTTGTTGCAATCCTGAATTACAAAATTAATTTGAACGAAGTTTAGTAACATTTGAAGTGGAACGGAGTGGATCTATAAATAAATCAGAATTTCGGATCGGATGTTCTATAGAATAGGTGGGCAAACTCCGCCAAATATCACGTGAATATAAATGATTGCCCACCTATTCTATGGAACATCCTTTCTCCCTAGGTCATAGATTGAGACATTGGGTACAAAATAACACGGAATGTCCATGGAGCCCCAGCACAACACAAAACATGAATCACTTCCATAACATGCAAGATCAGCAACAAAATTTGGAAGGAAAATTTTTTTTATCGCTGTTTTCGAAATGGTTGAAAAAATTTTTTTGTGAATTTCACGAATACTCAAATACTCGATTACATTGGCACAATAATAAAAATTACTGTACGTACATAATTTGGAATCGATTTTTGATTAATGTTATTATTGTGCCAATGTAATCTAGTATTCAAGTATTCATGATATTCACAAAAAATTTTTTTGTTGGTCATTTTCAACCATTTCGAAAACAGAGATAATATTATAATCTAAATAATCCAATTTTTGTAAAAACAAAGTATTTACAAAAAATTTTTTGACCTGTTGCCGCTTTTTGCTGTAGGGCCCCCATATACCATTCCCAGCGATGTTAGAGGAAATGATAACAGCTGAAAATGCTGAATGGAAATCCCAGTAATTTGAACACATAAATCTAGGTTGAAATCTACACGGAGAAAGGATGGGGCGCTTTATCAAGACTATCACTTCCTCACATTCCGAGAACTGTATTTCAAGAGTGATCGAAGCCCTAAATAGAAACAAAGCCTCAAAAGTGATCAACATAATAACATTTGATGGATATATTTAGTATAGTATGACCAGGAATAGTGCAACCCGGAAAATAGAATCACAAAATAATTTGAATTATAACCACCAGATTAGTAGGAAGGTCGGATGCTTTAATCACAAAAGTTTCTGAACAGATCGGGGCATACCAGGCAAGAATGTCCTCTCTAGTCCTCTCTAGACAAATTTGAAAATTGCATGTACATTAGATAATATTATCCTCCTAGCTTTCTAATTTATGAAAAAAATAATAATTTACGAATTTAGTGATAAACTCATAGTATTTTAATTCATCTATTTATTAATTAAATGCTTTAGTTATCTTCAAATTTAATACCAATATACTAAATTTAATATCAATTTAAGAGTTGTTTTTTTTTAATGAACATATACAATATTTTAATGCTTAACTTTATGTAAACTACTTGCCCTCCTCTACCTGTCTCATTAACTTATTACCTCTAATTGAATCATAAAATCTAGTCAACTCATCGCAAATAAAATAAAAATAACCTCTAAACTCGATTTTTTCTGATGTACCCTTAACTTCTTTTGGTGTTTTTGATTTATCAATACCAATAAAAATTTTGCTCATTCTAGCTATATAAATCACAAATAAAGCTGTCCAAGTTGTGATAAAAAAACTGTTAATTGGTCTATCAATAATTATCCAAGTTACTTGGAGAAAGGTGGGAGGTAAAAAACAAATAAAAATTAAAGGTATTGTAGTTTTAGATAAAAAATATTCAAAACCATTAAGTATTTGTGACTTTTGTGGTTCTTCTCTTTTTGGTAGCTTGAATAGCAAAAGTAAAATTAAAAACAAACAAAGAAAAAAAAGATTTATAGAGAAACACCATGCATATATCTTACTAGTGGTATCAGCATTATTTACAGAAAATACTATCCTAATATACCAAAAAATTACGATAGAAAAGGATGTGATACCTACTGACAAAAAGAAAAATGTTGCACGAAAAAGTTCTATTGAAATTCTACAAATCATATTATAATATTTAACAACACAATTATTCCACCATTTATCAGCAAAATCTTTTGGATTTTTTATTGCTTTGAAACAACCTTCAGTGTTTTTGCGATCACGAATAGCCATCATAATGACAGCCCCAAAGGTACAACCTATAGAAAACAATATCATAAATAAGGAATATATCATCAATTGTATATCCTTGTAAGCATATGCAACAAACAGAGGGATCCCCCAAACCATGATGTGATATACTAATTCATCAAAAAGCGGTATAATAACTTTGCTTCCAAAATCTTCAGTAATATGCATGGCAAAAGGTATATATTGGTTAATGATTGAAATATATCTTTCAAATTCATAGAATTAAAATCAATGAAAAAAAAATTGTACGAAAGTGTTTGTAGAATTAGAATCAATGAGTGATAACAATAATGCAAAAGTAAGTGGAAATATTGCCAAAGTATACAGCGCAGGACAGCATAAATAAAACGCGCCAAATTTTAAAATATGTAATATATATGTGTAAATATTATGATCAGCTGATAATTCAATTACCTAGGGAGGAGAGGATCTACCCTTCTACGTAATACGTAATAGAAATTACGCAACAAACGGCACTTTCCTAATCAATTGGGGAATGGACTCGGAAAACCCCTAGTGTCAGGCGGTGATTTTCCTAGTCCATTCCCCAATTGTGATTGGTCAAAAATACAAATTTCCTTCACAGATTGACCTTCAAAATAGTTAAATGTTTTTAATTACAGCCATTAAATAAATTGGAGAGAAAGATTAGTGGGAAGGTCAGATGCTTTTGGGACATCTAATAAAAGTTGACCGGATGATTACTTGGACGATTCGATAAGTTTGTGATTTCAGTAATGATCAATTACATAATAATGTTGCTTCAGCTAAGTTGGATTTTAGATTTGGTTGCCGTTCTTCAGACAAGTTGGAAATTTCAGATTCAATTGTAGTTACTTCAGACAAGCTAGTCATTTTTAAAATGTTTACTATAGAAGGACAAGCTAAAGGTTCCTTAGTTGTTAGATCAACCGTTCATCTGATTCATGCAGGTTTTCTTTCTATTTTTTATAAAAATCATTATAGCTTACACTAAAATGGTTAAATAAAAAATAATAGATTTGATTTTATTGATTGTAATTCTCATTGCAATTGCGACAATTATTAATAAAACCTTGGTTATATCTTGCGCCATAGTTTTTTTTTTAATCTAGTCAATAAATTCTGTTTTATATTCTAACTTTTTTTTGAAAGCTTAATTTAGAAACCTTTTTTATATTTTGTGTTGATCGGTAAGAATAATCTTTGCCATAATTTTTCGTACAGGCCAAACATGCATTCAAGCGAAAACTTAATTTTAAATGTGTTACCATGTAGTTCAAATCAAAAATTTATTACAAACACTTATTGAATCGACAAATAATCATTCTGTCAAATTTACCAGATGTTCCGAAAACAGCTGTAATTTTGAGGCAACTGATAAAAATTTGATCGATTCGATAAGTTTTTGATTTCGATAATGCGCGATTACGTAATAATGTGCGATAATGTGGGGCATCGTCAATCTAATCATTTTCCGAAAATTGTTACACAAAATGATAAAAATTAAGAGATGTCTAATTGTAACATAGGGTGTTATCAATATTTTTTATCGGCTATACTAAGTAGTTGTTACAAGTAACATGTTACAATTAAATGTCTTATAATTTTTTATCATTTCGTGTAACATTTTTCGGAAAATGATCAATCTCACTAAGTTACGTTTTGATTGATGATGCCACATGTATATAGGGATGGAAAAAAAACGTTTTAAACAGTTTTTTAGATGTTTTAAAACTTTTTAAAAAACTTTTTAAAACATTGGCGCTGAGACTAAAATTTAAAATTTAGGCTAAAATGCCGATTCACCAAATTTCATAGAGATAAC